CTCAGCCATAAAGAATGACAAACGAGACATTTATAGCTAAATGGATGCATATTGAGGCCATACTCTTAAGTGAAATAAATAGGACACACACGTGTAAATACCAAATAGTTTCTCTAGTGTGAGAACCTGAAAGTGTAAATAAGGATGAAAATGGTTAAAATGAATAATTGATAATTTGAAATAGGAAAAGGTCCAAAGGTGTACAGCTTGTGGGAAGGGAAGGGGAAAGGGAAGAAGGGAAAGGAAAAATTATGAGAAAAGAAAAAAAAAAGGAAACAAAATCTATGTAAATAAGGAAGGGTGGAGGGGGTGAAGGGAGCACAGGTAATAGGGGAAAAAATAAGAACTAAGATACATCATGTACAGGTTCAAGCACCCAATGATAAATGTAAATGTATTGTATACCTAAAATGTACCAATAAAAGAATTTTTTTTTTTAAATCTTGCTTACTGTTTCCTATGTGGTGGCACATTCCTTGAATCCCAGCACTCAGGAGGCTGAGGCAGGAGGATCACCTTGAGTTTGAAGCCAGCCTGGGCTACATAGCTTAAGGCCAGCCTGAAGTACAAAGCAAGATCTCAAAAACAAACACACCAGGGATTTAGCTCACTGGTTCCGCTGCCTGCCTCACAAGCATGAGGTCCAGAGTTCGATCCCCGGTGCCCAAAACCAAACAAACAAACTTACTTGTGTGACATATTCAGCCTGCTCAGTGAACTCAGTCACCTCAGGGGAAAATGACAGCTGTTCTCAAGTTGTCAGATGAAGTGGCATTCAAGCCAAACTGGAATTATGGGGGCAATGGGTGAATAGTGGGATTTTTGACATGTTTCAAACATTAGCAAAGATTTTAAAGGAGAATGAGCCAGGGCCTTCTTCTCCCTGCCAGTGCATCAGCTTCCAAAAGACTTTGAACATTGCTTCCCAACCACAAAGACCACCGAAGTGGGAAGGAATGTACCCGTGACCTGTTTGTGAATAGACCAGGTGAATGGACCTTGTCCATGCTAGAGGATTGACTGCATGAGATCACAAATGCCGGAGGCCTTAAGAGCATGTCTGAGACAATGTCATGTCTCTTCCATGTGTTCTGGATTAATGTCAGGACGGAGTATCCTGAGATTGCCACAAAAGCATTGAAAAGCTCACTCCCGTTTTCAACATCCTATCTTTGTGAAACAGTATTTTCTGCAGTGACAGCAGCCAAAATGAGATTAGGGAGTGGACTGGACGTAAGCAACACACTTGAGGTGTCACTGCTGCCCATCACCCCAAGTGGAATCATCTAGCTGCAGGAAAGCCGGCTCGGGGCTCCCACTGACTCTGCACTGTGGTGAGCTGTGTAATTGTCTCATTATACACTGCAGTATAATTATGGAAGAAACATAGCACACTAAGTGTAATGCGCTTGAATCATCCGGAAACCACCCACTACCCCACCCTTTTAACAACTGTCTTCCACGAAGTGGGTTCCTGGGGCCGCTGCTTTCCACCCAGCACCTGGCCACTTGGCCTCTAGGTGAAATGTGGACTCACAGATCCACGGCTGTAAAATGAGCTTTCGTTGCTTTTTCCCTTCTGTGCATGAATTAGGGTAAGCACCGCTGTCGGAGATGCCAGGAGAGCGGCTACAGCAGGGCCCTCGGTTTTAGAGGAAAAGAGCAGGAAGTGGGACGCCGACGACCTGGGGCACAGTCGCTCAGGTGGGGCCGAATATAAAGTAAGAGGCTCCAGGTGTCGCGCTCGCTCGGGTGGCTGCCTGTGCCGCGTGACGAGGTCCCTGGTTCCACACCCAGCTCTGCAAAACCAACCGAACGCCCAGGCGCCAGGCAAAGGGTTAATTGGCCCGGTGTGCACCGGCCTCCAGGGCACTTGCTACCCAGTAACATGTGTCCCGCTGTGGTCTGGGGGGCGGTCGCACGAGCGCATTCCGGGTCGTGACAGGGCCTGTTCCCTGACGAAGGTCGCACTGACAGGTCCAGGCAAGGACCGCTGCTGGGCGTGACTTCTGTCCCTGCGGCCCCACCTTCCTTCCTTCCTAGACACCCCCACCAGACCGCAGGCTGCATAGGGCTGGGCCCAAGTCGGTTCCACCTCCAGGCTCTGTCACCCAACCTGACCCAAAGGAGGGGTTTTCCATCTGCCTGGTCTCACCCTACTGCAGGTGACAGAGAAAACCCCCATTCCGTCGGCTCCGCCCCGCCCCCTAGGCCTCACTTCCGGGATGGTTGGGGGGGGGGGGGAATATATGGTCACATAATATGTACTGCGCCTGTGCCCAATCCACCAGGCGCCTGCGCACTGCGCACCGCTCCTCCTGGACCGGACATAACGGTCCGCGCGCGGCACCCGGGCCGGAAGTAGAGGGAAGTGTCGCGGTGCGCGCCGGCCTCACTCAGCGCCGGCCGTGAGAGCCGTTGCGGCCGCCCTCGGCGCCTCTGGGGCCTTCCGCAGCCGCCATGTCGGCCAGCGCCATCTACGTGCTGGACCTGAAGGGCAAGGTACTCAGGGCTCCCACACTTCCCGTTGCCAGGCAACCCTGGGGTCCTCGCCCGGAAGGGGACCCACCATATTGCTTGGTAACCCGCCGAGGGGCGCCACCCTGGCGAGAGTGGCGGAGACCGTTAAGCCTCTTCCTAGGGCCCCCTCCGTTGCTAGGAAACATGGCGGTCTAGGCTCTGGAGCCCCTTTCTGTTGCTAGGTAACGTGGGGGCGACAGCCTGTCGTTGCCAGGTAACCGGTGGCAGCGTCCCCGCCCCGCGCTGGGGCCCGTGCGACCCTTGGCCGGAAGATGAGGCGCGGCAGGCGGGCGCCCTGGCCGCTGCCTGCTCCGTCTGCCCTCCGCTTCCTCCAGAGACGGCTTCCCGACCTTCCTCCAAATGCCAGGCAGGGGAGGCGGGCGGTTCGAGGGGAAACTGAGGCACAGTGGCGACCAAGCTTGCTGAGGGTACGGCAAGAGGGTGCGGCGAAAGGTGGCAGGTCTGAGGCCACCCTGTATCATCCGTGCATGGAGCTGGGATTTGCAGAGAATCTGCCCAGTGTCGCGGGTCCCTCGGGGTGCAGGCTGGAGAGTGACCCTCGCTCAAACGCTTGACAAGCAGACATCTGCTGCCGCAGTGCAGCCGTAACAGGAACAGTCTCCCGGGGCTCCCCAGGGAAGGACAGGTGGGCCCGGATGTCACCTGCTGAGCCTGGGGTATTTGAGGCAGAAAACGTTTATTTCTAGTCCTGAGCTTTAACGCAGCTCCTCATGTCCTCATGCTTGCCAGGCAAGCACTCTACACCGAGCTCTGCCATGGTTCAAACACTTTTTTTCCAGCGCTGGGGACTGAACCCAGTGAACTGAGCTCCATCCCCAGCTCTTTTTTATTTTTTAATTTGAGACAGGGTCTGACTAAATCAGTAAGTTTCCCAGGCTGGGCTGGAACTTGTGACCCTCCTGCCTCAGCCACCTAGGGTGCTAGGGTGTACCACCATGCACAATCTGAAAACTTTTTGTTTGTTTGTTTGTTTTGGTACCGGGGATCAAACTTGGGACCTTGTGCTTGTGAGGCAGACAGCGGAACCACTGAGCTAAATCCCTCGCCCTGGAAACTTCTTAAAGGAAGTATTGTCCAGGTCTTGAGAACTGGGCAGCCACCTTCCCCTGAGGCCATCCCAGGTGGACAGGGAGTGACTGTCTGGTCTTCCCTGTGGGAACAAGAACAGGCCCGGCCATGCCAGACAAGGCCCACATTCATCAGGAGGGACGAGTGGTGTCCCATCCTCCTGGTGAGTGCCCAGAAGCTGCAGCAGGTGAGCAGCAGGTGGCTGGCTGCCCCTCCTGGAGTCCAGGAGTGGGTATATGGATGTCATCCAAAGTCAACACTGCTGCGTCCCCATGCAGGCCATGGGAGTGGGAAGACCCCTGTCCTGGAGGGCCTTGGTGCGCCTGCTCCCGCCTGGCCACTGCGTCCCTGTCTCCACCCCCTTGTCCCTGGGGCGAGCCTTTCCTGCGGGCCCTGCAGGCAGCCGGTCTCTGTGGCTATGCAACCTTGGATATGCGGGGGTCCCACTCTGGGCCCGCTTTCCTCACTGGCACGAGACAGGGCAGCCCTAGTGTGGCCGAAGTGCCAAGAGCGTCTCCAGCTGCCGGGGACAGACACACAGCCAGGGATGCCACCGAGCACTTGGGCCAGGCAGCCACAGGGCCCGGGACACAGCCCCCAGGCAGTAGTTGCTCAGCCTCATAGGTGAGGTTACAAAAGGCTCCCCAGCAGAGCGTGTGACCGAGCTGGTTTGAGATGGTGACAATGACCGTCGTGTGGAGGCAAGGTGTCCCTGTAGGCAGGAGGGTGACGGGCAGCCAGCGCGCCAGGCAGAAGACGTTCTGGGCCAGGGTGTTGAGAACATCCCGATGGGACGGCCAAGGGGACACAGGGCAGGAGGCACCAGCCAAGGAGACAGTCGCCCACATCCCTGCTCAGGGCTTCCGCCAGCGAGCAGGCTGTGTGAGCAGAGAAAAGGATCCAGTGTGGGGCAGCACCTGGGTCCCTCCACCGAGCCCCAAGGGGTCCCACTGCACCAGCAGCACAGTGTCCCCACTTCCGGGAGCTGTGTCCCTGCTTCCTCTCCACCTGCTGGCCCTGCCTTGGGCCTCAGCCTGAGCGTCCACCTGGAGCCCGCAGGGCCTAGCACCGCCCCACTGCCCCTCGCCATGGGCTCCGGCTTCTATTGCTGACCCCATAGTGTGCCAGGACCCTGCAGTCTACCTCAGCCCGCACCTCCTCCCCTGCCCATCACCTCTGGGGTCCATGGTGGCCCCGCAGCCGCTGCAGACCTGGCACTGCCCTGCTGTCTCGCTGTCTCAGCAGCAGCACCACTGGCCCCGCAGTTGTCCCCGCTAGCAATTGTCCCTGCTTCTCTTTCTCCTTATCTCCGAGTTTGCCGGGGGCCAGTTCCCCCCCCAGGGAAGGACACAGATGTCACACACAAAGGGAGGGATGGATGAGCGCGTGCTGTGGTGGGTGATGGGACAGTGAGGACAGAGTGATGTGGGAGGGAGGGCACCAGGCCCTGGGAGGTGCCTGCAAGTGGCCTGGTCCCGTGGGCCTGGAATGCCTGAGCTGGGGTCGGGTGCTGAGGCTGGGTGGTGCCCTTCCAGGGGGACAGACCTGCCTGGCTGCTACACTGGGAGCCCTGCCACAGGCAGGCCTGGCACCTGCTCGGCCCCTGCCCCCCGCAGCCTGCTGTCCTCCACCCCCACCCCCACCCCCACCCCTCACTCCAGGCCTTGGTCTAAAGGTCAGGCCGGTGTGGGGCACCTGCCTGTCATCCCAGCACTGTCGGAGGCTGAGGCAGGAGGACTGCAAGTCCCAGCCCAGCTGGGCAACTTGGCTGGACCCTCTCTGAAACAAATAAAAGGGTCGGGGTGCAGCTCTGCGCTGCTGGCCCAGTCCCAGCAGCGGCACACCAGTGAGTGAAACTGCCTGAAGGATCCCGCCGAGTCTGGGTGCTGCCGCTCGTGGGCTGTGCGCAGGATAGGCAGGGCAGTGTGTGTTGCCACCCTTCCTGACTGGGTGGCCCCACTTCGACCCCCGTGACCGCCCTGCCCTGCAGGTGCTTGTCTGCCGGAACTACCGCGGAGACGTGGACATGTCAGAGGTGGAGCACTTCATGCCCATCCTGGTAGAGAAGGAGGAGGAGGGCGCACTGTCGCCCATCCTGGCCCACGGCGGTGTTCGCTTCATGTGGATCAAGCACAACAACCTCTACTGTATCCTTGGCGGGGACCTGGGGCACTCTCGAGGGTGCCCGGTGACAGTGTGACATCCTGTCCCTGGGGATGAGCAGTGGTGGCCAGGAGGCCCCAGGGTCTGCGGTGCCCGGAGCACACAAGGAAGCCCTGGGAGCTGCAGGCTGGGACACTGGGTGGAGGGAGAGGGACTGGACGTCTGCAGCCAGGTGGCCCCAGAGGGCTCAGGTGGCTGCCCCAGGACACCAGCCAGCCCTCTCACAGGTCCTGGGCCCCACACTCCAAGGGGAGGGCCTGGGTGTGAGGCAGGTTCTCAGCCTCTTGAAGTCCCAGGCCACTGGGGGTGATCGTGGAGACCTGGGGGCAGCCCATGCCCCAGGCTGTGGGAGAGGGACACCCAGCCCACCCAGCCACGCTGTCCAGACAGTGCCCTGGTGATGTTGGGTGCACTGCTTAGATGCAGTGGTCGCTGGGAGCCGGGGACAGCTCCGCAGAGTGACAGGGGGCTGGCATCCGGGAGGTGGCCCTCATCTGATGTCCTCTGAAGCTGCCCTGCTGGCCTGGCTGCCTGGGTATGGGAGGAGCCCGCCAGTGTGCACGGTCTGAGTCCCAAGGGGCCTCCGTGCGCCCATGCCATGCGTGGGCGGCTGGGGAGGGGCCCCAGGGCTCCCTCTGCACACAGCCTGATCCCCCTGCACCTCCTTAGAAAGGGCACTCCCCACCGCGCCCCTGCCTTCCCCTGAGCTTGCTGTGTGGTGGCATAGACACGTCACCCACAGAGGGAGCAGCCAGCATCCCTGGTCGGGAAGGAGGGCCAGAAGCATCCCGAGGGGACAGGGCTGTCTGCGGGGTGGAGTTCATGTAGGGCAGACTCGGCCCTGGCTGCGCCCTGGAGCCTGGCCGGAGCCGACCCCAGCTTCAGAGAGCAGGGCTGTTACCATCCTGCGTCACCACTGCTGCCCTGCTGCTTCCCCTAGCACTGAGCCCAGCCCAGGCCTTCACACAGAGCTCCATGCCAGCCCTTTTTATTATGTGCTTTTTTATTTTGAGACAGAATTCGCTAAGTCGCCCAGTCTGGCCTCAAACTTGCCATCCTCCTGCCTCAGCCTCCACGCAGCTGGACATACAGGCCTGCACCATGGCGTCAGGCTCCTGTGGTGCTTTCTTCCTGGAAGGGGCTGCTCAGGCTCCCTCCTTGGGGCGGTGGGGCCAGGTCTAGCAGTGACCGCCATGTCCCAGGCCTGGCCGTGACCAGGGCGAGTGGGGAGGCAGCCGAGGGCTGGGGGCAGGGAAGGCTCCTTGACGTGGCTGCGTGCAGTGGTTGCCACGTCCAAGAAGAATGCATGTGTGTCGCTGGTGTTCTCCTTCCTCTACAAGGTGGTGCAGGTGAGTGTGCCAGGGCCCTTCAGGGAGGAGCAGCCCCAGCCTGGCCTGCTGTGCCCAGGCCCTGGGGGGGTGCCCAGCAAGCAGGGGCCGGGCACTGGCTCGGTGTCCCAAGGGCCCCTCCCTGCCCACCCACTGCCCAGGTGTTCTCCGAGTACTTCAAGGAGCTGGAGGAGGAGAGCATCCGAGACAACTTCGTGATCATCTACGAGCTGCTGGATGAGCTCATGGACTTCGGCTACCCACAGACCACGGACAGCAAGATCCTGCAGGAGTGAGTGGGCCCCCGGGCTCGCAGAGTGGGGCAGCTCAGGCTCAGTTCCTGCTAGGTTTTCACATGCTGGACAAAGCTCCCACCTGAGCCCCAGCCCAGCCCTTTTTATTTTATTTTGAGACAAGATCTGGCTGAGTGGCCCAGACTGTAGTCAGACTTGAGATCCTCCTGCCTTGGCCTCCACCATGGCTGGGATGACAGGTGCACCACCACACCCAGCCCGTGCCCACTTCCTGTTTTCCTCCTAACGCTGTCTCCTGGGATCTTGGAAATGAGCGCCTTGGGGCACTGTCACTGGGGTCTGGTGGCCTCTGGACGTGGAAGGCTACGTGTGGTACTAGGGCTGCCACCCGTGGGGTGTGAGGAGGTGGAGGGACCTGGGGGCCCACACCCACCCCTAACCTGGCCGGGCCCGCAGGTATATCACGCAGGAAGGCCACAAGCTGGAAACAGGGGCCCCTCGGCCCCCTGCCACCGTCACCAACGCCGTGTCCTGGCGGTCAGAGGGCATCAAGTACCGTAAGAATGAGGTGTTCCTGGATGTCATCGAGTCCGTTAACCTCCTGGTAGGTGCCCGCCGTGGGGCAGGGGTCTCTGCTCCTGCATCGGGGACCGCTGTTCTGGGTCAGACTGAGGGCCCTAGCCCGAGACCCCTCCTGTCACTCTGTCACTTGGGACCCGCCCCAGGCTGACGGACAGGCCCTGAGATGCGGTCCTCCCGCCACCGTTCTGGGTCTGACCCACCGAGCCATGCCCAGAGCTTGCCTTTGTCTTTTTTCTTTAAACACCAAGGCTGAAGCCGACTTCTCTTGTGTGCACGCTGGCCCCGTACAACCCTGGGTTCCTCACCCGCAGGACGCAGACCCTGGCTGCCCTCCGATCTCTTCCCCCACCAGTGTGGCCTTGGAGGCCTCCTGCGAGTGGCATCGAGTGACGCCGGGGCCCCGTCCCCAGTCACACCACAGTGCTGGCGGGAGTGTGGGCTGCGTGCCCTGCCTTTGTGTCCTGTCCCTGTTGTGCCCCCGCCCCCCAAGGACCGTGCGCGTTTCCAGGTGTGCAGGACGAGCGGAGTAGAGTGGCAGCGCCGGCTACAGGGTGGATGTTTTGCCGTGTCGGCCACCGGAGTGGGGTGCCGGGCACTGGGAGGCGCCTGGCCGTGCACATGAGGTGCCCTGTGGGCACCTGTGGGTGCTCAAGCTTCCGTCCCGTTCCCTGGCGGCGCATGGCATGGAACACCTGTGCATGGGTTTTTTTGTCACCTCGTAGCTTCTGAGGACACCAGGCTGTGTCTTTCGAGCATGTTTAAATTGGGTCATTTGTTTTCTCACTGCTGAGTGCTGAAAGCTCTTCATATATTCCAGTCATTGGTCTTTGTCAGATATGTGATTTGAAAGTTTGTCTTTTTATTCTCATGTTTTGTTTTTTGAGACCGGGTCTCACTAGCTACGTAGTTCAGGCTGGCTTTGAACTCACTGTGTAGCCCAGGCTGGCCTCGAACACACAGCGAACCGCCTGCCTCAGCCTCCCGAGTGCTGGGATGCCAGGCGCAGACCCGGCACGCGCTGGGCGCTCACCATGAGTCCTGTTCTCCGCAGAGACAGGCTGCCCTTGAGGTGGCACTCCTGGCTCCTGCGGCTGGGACTGTGGGCACCTCGCCTGGGGCAGTGTCTTCTTCCGCGATCAGACACCTCTAACTGATGAAATCCCACTATCCGTGCTCTTGTTGTTAATCGTGCTCTTTGGTGCTAGGTCGGACTCTGCCAACCCAAGGCTGCAGCGGCTTCCTCCGATGCGTTCAGAAAGTTCCCTGGACTTGCACTTAGGTCTATGGCCAATTGTGGGTTTGCGGGTTTGGTTTGGCTCGGTTTTTTTTTTTTTTTCTGGTACTGGGGATCGAACTCTGGACCTTGCGCTTGCGAGGCAGGTGCGGCTCCACTGAGCTACATCCCCGGCCTGCTATGGCCAGTTTTGAATTAAATTTCGCACAGGGTGTGAGGTTTCTATCCAAGTTGTTTTGCGTATAAAATAGTCTTTGCAATCGTTCCCCACACCATTTTCTGAGGACGGAGCGCTCTGTTGATAAGGGGCCCCCACTCGGGCGTGGCCCGTTCTGGCCCCACCCTGGGACCCTGAGGTCAGCCCCAGCCCTGAGCCCGGAGGTTCGGGCGCTCGGAGTGCGTGCGCCGCGCCTGCGCAGTCTGCCCCTGCCATCCCCTCTTGTCCGCTCCAGGCCCCGTGGCCCTCCCGGGGCGCTGTCCGGTGCTTGCTGCCTGCAGCCGCGGGAGTTGTGTCTGGAGCGCCCCTGGCCGCTCACTCCCTGGGCTGCAGAGGTCTGGTGCCGTTTGTAAGCCTGTGTTTTCCAGAGGAGCTGGAGGTTTCTGGGCCTCAGCGAGCGGGTCCAGGCCTGGCCTCTGCCGCAGGGGGGCAGGTTCCGGCCCCGCCTCCTGGGCACCCCGCAGCAGTGGCCTTGGCGTCCTCGGTCTCAGGTGTGTCACCTCCGGTGTTTGCGGGGACCCTCAGTCTGCACTCCCGAGACCTGCGGCCAACTCCGCTCTGTAACGTTGTGGTCTGCTGTTGCTTTCCGGCGTTGGTGTCCATAGGAAATGGACTGGGAAGTGTTCCTTCGTTTTTGTTTTCTGAAACAAACATTATACAGACTTGGGGTTAAATCTTTTTTTTTTTCTTTTTTTGAGACAGAGTCTTGGTATGTAGTTAGTCCCATGATCCTCCTGCCTCAGCCTCCTGAGTACTGGGGCTACAGGCGTGCGCCACCGTGCCCGGCCTAAATGTTTAAATGCTGTTAAAATTCCCCAGCAAATTTTGAGCCTGGAGATCGTTGACTGGCCGATTTGCAGTGCTGGGATCCAAGCCCAGGCTTCAGTCAGGCCAGACGTATGGTCCACACTGAGCTACATCCTCAGCTCCAAATCCCATTTTTTTCTTTTGTGGTACTGGTGGTCCAACCCAAGGCCTTTGCATGGGGTCTTGCTAAACTGCTGGGCTGGAACTTGCGAGCCTCCTGCCTCAGCCTCCCGAGTGCTGAGGTCACAGGTGTGTGTTACCACGCCCAGCAGAGCCGGCTTTGTCCCCCTTGGTTTCTGGATGCTGTTCGGTCTCGCCGCCCTCTGCTGCCATCTCTAGGGCATCCTCCCGGTGGCTGGGCTCAGAAGTGTTTCTCGTTCAGCGTGGACCTCGAGGGGGGCAGAGCTCCGGTGGTGCTGCCAGCCGGAGTGGGCCTCCTTTCTGCCCCCGGGAGATGTGTTCAGAGGGCCAGGGCCAGGGCCGGCCCACCTCGCCTGCCGCCTGCCGCTCCTCGCCTCCTTCCTGCTGGCCGAAGCGTGAAGGCCCCATATCCTCCAGTGGCTCCGCGTCCGTTGCTGCTTCTGCACCTCCTGCCCACCCGAACCCCCGGCTGTGCCCTCCTGGGTGAGGCCAGCGCCTTCCCAGTCAGCCTTTCCGGCCACTCACTTCCTCTCTTGGGCATGGAAGGACAGGAGTGGGGACGAGAGGGGTTGCCCTCGCGAGACTCGGACTCGGGGGCCTTCCTGGTCATCGGGTCGGTTCCCAGCAGGAGCTGAACCTGGAAATCAGCGCTGCCCGGGTCCGGCCGCCCTGAGGGCGCAGACAGTTCTGCTGCCGCCCATCTGCAGCGAGGAGGCAGCCTGCTGATGCCAGAGGGCGTCCCAGCACCCAGGAGGCTGAAGCAGGAGGACCGAAAGCCAGAGCCCAGCCTGGGCGACTCAGTGACTTAGCAGGAGCCTGTGTCAAAGTGAAAACCAAAAGGGCCCGGAGCTCGGTCCCTGCACTACAAAGGAGAAAGGAACCCACGTCACACTTGCGGATTTTCCGTTGTCCCTTTGTCAGTTTCCTGAAACCCTGCGCTGTCTGGAATCCAGCGTCGCCGCAGGAGGTGACAGAGGCCAGCCCCGCCCCACCCTGCGCCCTCGAAGCTGCGGGACCACGGTGTGCTTCTGTCCCGGCTGCAGGTCCCGCCGCCCCTCCTGGACCCTGTGAGGCCTCCTGGAGCCCCGCCTCCACCCCCAAGCGAAGCCAAGCAGGCCTCCGCCACACAGCCCGCCCGCAGCTCCCTGAGGCTCCCTCCGCTCTGCGCTCGGCTCGCTGTCTCCTCCCTTCCTGGACACCAGTGTCACACAGACTCCATCGGCCCTGGGCCTCTGTTCACTCCGTACCATGTCTTCTCTCTGTGGACAGAGTGGATCATTTCTGTTTTCCTTCCTTTTTATGCAGTCCTTCACAACGAGCTGCATCCTCAGCCCTTTTTGAGACAGTGTCTCACTAAGTCGCTAAGTGCCCAGGCTGGGCGTGAACTCGGAACCCTCCTGTCTCAGCCTCCCCGAGTGCTGGGATCACAGGCGTACGCCACGGCCAGCTCAGGCTGGATGCTTTCTGTTGACCTGCCTTCCGGTTCCCAAGTCCACTGGCCCCTTCCGTGTTGTACTCCACACAGCTGTGGAGCCCATCTGGCCCGAGTTTATTTGTGATCGTGTTTCGCTCTCTCACTTTGCTGAGGCTTCTGTCTGCACACACGTGGCACACTGGTGCATGTGGTTTCGAGTCAGTGTGTCCGTGGCCTCCATCCGTCCTGTCCCACGTACCTTGAGACAGTGGCAGTGCATGTGCACAGTGCCTCAGATGGCACTGAACGTCACCAAGGGAGCAGCTGGGTCTCGAGGGCTACGTGGGAGCCACTGCTCAGGCCGTGGGGTCACAGCCCTGGCGTCCAGGTGCTGGGCTGGCCGTCCGTCCAGGGTGAGCTCCTGGCCTCAAAGTGTGACTCAGGAGGCTCGGGCAGGGGCCCAGAGCTCTGAAGCCTCAGCCGGCGGACAGGTGGGCATCTCCAGTGCCTGCACTGTTCTCTCGTCTGCTGCTCTTCCCCGCTGGCAGTGCTGCCATCCCACACACTATGCCAACCTGGCTGGGAAGCCCTTCTGGCCACCGGCCGGCGGCTCTGGGGTGGAGGCAGAGCCTCCATGGGTGTGGGCCCAGGCAGACCCCTTGGTCTGCGTGGCACCCACTGAGTGGCCACTCATCCTTGTCCTGTCCCTGCAGCCAAGCTCGGCCTGGCATCCATGACCCAGCAGGCAGGCCTGGGCGCCCAGGGACAGGGACATGGGCTATGGAGGGAGGCCAGTAGGAGGGCTAGTGCACAGCCACCTGGGGACACCGTGGACAGACGGTCACAGGGCGCACAGCAGCAGTGGCGAGAGAAGCCAAGGCAGACAGGTGGCTCAGGGCTGCACACTGTCCCCGCTCCTTGGCTCCCGGCTGGAGTTTGTCCCAGATGCCGGAAGCTGCAAGCGCCCCTGGGTCTCTGGGCCACAGGCTGCTCAGCCCCACCACTTCCGGCCACCCTCTCTGCGCCCTGGCCCTGCTGCCCTCTGGGCTGTGGTTCACAGCTGGGCATCCCTGTCTCGCACCCCCAGGCATGACCCGGGTTACAGCGTCCTCGGGTCCCTGCCCTGCAGACGCCTGCAGAGGGCAGTGCTTGGGGCACAGGATCTGGTCAGCATGGCTTATGAGGCCCCACAAGCCCAGGGTGAGGGCAGCCCCGAAGCTGACAGATGGCAGGAGGTGCAGCAGGGGCAGACGCAGTGGAAACTCACTGGGGCTGCTGGGGACAGGGAGGAAGTGGGGGGCCAATGCCCAGACCCGGCCAGGTGGTCCCCAGGGCCTACAGAGGAGCCTGCCAGGAGGGGCTGGGGCTCAGGGACGAGGACAGTGGGCGTAGGGGACCGGCCCAGGGTGGAGGCACACACCTGTCATCCCAGTACTCTGGGAGGCTGAGGCAGGAGGACCCCAAGTTCCAGCCTTGCCTGGGCAGAATAAAGAGCTGGGGGTGCAGCTCAGTGCAAAGACCCTGGCTTCCAACCCCAGCACCACAGAGGGCAGGGTGGCGGGAGGCCCACAGCACGGTGGGGCTGAACACGGCCCCTCCGCCCGCTGTCCAGGTCAGTGCCAATGGCAACGTGCTGCGCAGCGAGATCGTGGGCTCCATCAAGATGCGGGTCTTCCTGTCGGGCATGCCGGAGCTGCGCCTGGGCCTTAACGACAAAGTCCTCTTTGACAACACGGGCCGTGAGTGCGCGGCGGGCCTCAGCGGGGTGGAGCGGGGTGGAGCGGGGTGGGGCGGGGCCCCTGCTGAGGACCCGAGCCAGGTGCCCTCCCCAGGCGGTAAGAGCAAGTCCGTGGAGCTGGAGGACGTGAAGTTCCACCAGTGCGTGCGGCTGTCGCGCTTCGAGAACGACCGCACCATCTCCTTCATACCCCCCGACGGCGAGTTCGAGCTCATGTCTTACCGGCTCAACACCCACGTGAGTCCCGCGGCGGGCGGGGGGCGGGGCTCCCGCGCAGGCCCAGGTGCCTGGTCCCCGAGGGGCGAGCGCTGGCCCCTGCCCCGCAGGTGAAGCCCCTGATCTGGATCGAGTCCGTGATCGAGAAGCACTCGCACAGCCGCATCGAGTACATGATCAAGGTCGGGCTGCGGGGCTGCGGGGCTGCGGGGCTGCGGGGCGGGCACAGGAGGGCCAGAGGGAGGGGAGGGGAGGGGAGGGGAGGGGCGCCCCGGCCCCGCCCTCCACCCACGCCCCGACCCGCAGGCCAAGAGCCAGTTCAAGCGGCGCTCCACGGCCAACAACGTGGAGATCCACATCCCCGTGCCCAACGACGCCGACTCGCCCAAGTTCAAGACCACGGTGGGCAGCGTCAAGTGGGTGCCGGAGAACAGCGAGATCGTGTGGTCCATCAAGTCCTTCCCGGTGAGGCGGCGCCCCCTGCCGGGCCGCCCTGCCCTGCGCGGAGCCCCGCCCCGTCCTGCGCCTTTTCCTGTGCTCACTCGCTTCGCCATGGTTGGGTAGTGGGGAGGGAACCCAGGCCTTCACACCGCGCTGGATCTCCGGCCCTTTTTCCTTTTTTGAGATCGCCTTATCAGTTGCCCACACCCAGGTTCTTCTGTTTCCGGGCTGGGCTTGGAGCCAGGCAAGCGCTGTCCACCGGGCGGCAGGCACCCTGGCCTGTTCTTTACCTTTTCATTTTCCTTTCCGTTGGTCCGTGTTTGCAGCTACGCTCCCGCGGCGGGTTGGGACGTAGATTTCCACATGCTGCAGTCGGATTCAGGGTGGCCTTTTCCACTTCATGCCTTCTGCCCGGCACGGTGGCACACTCTGTCATCCCAGCACTGGGGAGGCTGAGGCAGGAGGATCGCTGTGACTTCAAGGCCTGCCTGGGCTACACAGAAAGACCCTGTCTAAAAAAATAAATAAAACGGGCTGTTTTGGAATGTGCAAAACACTGCGGTACCACAGTCGATGCATTAAAGGGCCCCAGTCGGGCGCTGCCCCGCCCCATGCCCACTGTGGCCCTTCCCCCTGGGGCGGAGCTGCCCACCACTGCCTGGGCTGAGCCTCCACCCGCCGAGGGCCCTGGGGCTCTTCCCTCGTCTGATTGCGAGAATGCAAGGACCCAAACTGACCGGCTTGGCTTTTTTTTTCTTTTCTAACCCTTTTTGGGAGCACTGGGGATTGAACCCAGGACCTTCACACGGAGCGCCTTTTACTTTTTGAGTCAGCATCTCGCTGAATTGCCAGCCCGGCTCCCGCTGGCCCGTCTGGGATGACAGCGCGGATGGCTCCTGCGCCCCTGTCCCGCCCCGGGAGTCCGGGGCTGCAGGGTGGGCGCGGCGGCAGCGCTGACGCTGGCCCGTGCGCAGGGCGGCAAGGAGTACCTGATGCGGGCGCACTTCGGACTGCCCAGCGTGGAGGCGGAGGACAAGGAGGGCAAGCCGCCCGTCAGCGTCAAGTTCGAGATCCCCTACTTCACCACCTCGGGCATCCAGGTGCGTGCGTGGGGGCGGCCGGGCTGGGGCCCCCGGGGCGAGGTGCGACCGCGCGGCCCACGGTGTCTCCCGCCAGGTGCGCTACCTGAAGATCATCGAGAAGAGCGGGTACCAGGCGCTGCCCTGGGTGCGCTACATCACGCAGAACGGCGGTGAGTGCGGGGCGGGGTGGGGCGGGGTGGCGCGGCCCTGCCCGGGGCGCAGGACTGACGCCTCCCGTCCCCCCAGACTACCAGCTCCGGACCCAGTGAGGCCGCGCCCAGCCGCGCCCCGCCCCAGTCCCGGAGCGGACCGACCCCACGTGCCACGGCCTTGGTGCCAAAGGCCACACGGCCCACAACGGCAGCGCCCCCGGGACTGGAGCTTGGTCCGGCTGCAGCCTCGGCCCGGCCACCGCCCACCCAGGCCCTCAGGGACGTCCCCCAGCGGCCCGCGTCTGTCCAGGGCCCGGCCCCACCCCTGCGTGTGACAGCGACATTAAATCCCCTCCCTCGGCGCGCGGCCTGCTCTGTCGGCGTCGCCCAGGGCCTGCAGCGGGCCTGACCCCAGGCCGCCAGGAGAGAGGGGAAGGGAGGGGAGGGACGGGGTGGGCGGGGGGCTGCGCTGCAGGCCGGCGGAGGGCGGACGCTGCGTCCCCCAGAGGGAAGGCACGCCCGGGACACGACTCCCGGCCGGCCTGGCTTCGCAGAGCTCTAACGCCTGGGGCGGGGCCTGGGGTGACTTACACTGACTCTGACTCTGTGAAGTGTCCCTCACGGAGCGGTTGTGGGTCTCCCGGGCTCTGGGTAAATAGGAATAAAGCAGGGGCCTGTGAGAATTCTTAAGGCTTGAAGGCCTAAAAGTTTACAACTTCTGGGGCCGGGGATTTGGCTCAGTGGTGCCACTGCTTGCCTCAAAAGCACAAGGTCCTGAGCTAGATCCCCGGCACTAAAACAAAAAAGTTTAAAACTTCTCATTGATGCTCCATGTCCACACTCGCCGGCCCAGCAGAGCAAGGTGGAATAGCACACAGTCCAGAACAAGCTTAGCCCCTGCTCTGAGCTGCCACGGGAAGGGCAGCACAGCCCGATGGAGGCATGCGCTGTGATGGCACTAGCGACCCCGTGACGGGTGGGCGAGGTGCAGGGAGGGGGCTCGGAGCAGGTGGACAGGATCTGTCCCCAGGAACCCTTCCAAGATCAGGGAAACGGTGAGGTTCAGACCTGAGCAGGGCCCACAGGTGGGGTCAGCAGGGAACTGCGTGGTGCTCGCTGCACACCTGTGGCGCGCATGACACTCCGGGTCCTGATGGTAGCCGGCACACATCTGTCCTCAGGGCGCTGTCCCCGCAGGACACAGGTCACGGACGCGGAGTGCATGATGTGGCGAGGGCCCGGCCTTGGGAAGAGTCTGAGACCCCGGAGCCAGCGTCCCGGCCCGCGGGCAGTCTCTCCCCGTCCACCACCCGCCCCATGTGTCAGGCTGTTCCCTCCGATGGTCACCACCGCTTCCCCTGGTGGCCCTGTCCCGCGGAGCGGCTGGGCCCGGACCGCCCTGGCGCGCGCGGCCACCAGGGGGCGCTCGGGGTCTGAGTCGCTGCTGACCTGGGCGCTCAGTCCTTAAGGTTTTCATCCGGAGCTGCTTGGGAACCAGGTTCTCCTCTGAGGACAGGGACACAAGTGGGCCAGGCAGACAGAACCGCAGCTCTGTGACCCAGGAGTGGCGAGGGGACGATTTCAAGTCACCATGTGGTAGCGCACTCCTGTCACCAGGGCACTTTGGGAGGCTGAGACAGGAGGATCCCAAGTTCAAACCCAGCCTGGGCTACTTAGGGAGAATCAGTCTCAAAATTTTAAAAGTTTAAAAAGGGCTGGCGATGTAGCTCAGTAGGATAGGCCCTAGGTTCAGTCCCAGCATTGAGAAAAAATGTACAAACAGCAAAAAAGAAAGCGAGCCCTTCCTTTAGTCACCCCTGGCATCGGGGTTGGGGCAGGGAGGACACCCCAGGCCACCCCTGGCATGCAGCCGGGGGACTTGGTGCTCGGGGGGACCCTGGGGCACTCACCACACACCAGACCCAGCACAGGGGCGCGGATGCACAGTGCCACGCGGACAGCGCTGGACACGGATGCTGCCCACAGACGCAGGCACAGCGTGTCCCGGCCCCATGCCCCGCCGCCCCTTAGCCACCCAGTCCTGGTCCTGCAACGTGTGGCCTGCTCTGCCCCAACTTGGGGCGTGGACAGTGATTCCCTAATTGCCAGCAAAGGGTTCCTGTCCTCAGCGCCTCCTAGGCCTGGTGCCACCCATCCCCTGCCCCGTTCCCATGCCCGCCCAGTGCCAAGGCCACAGGGAGGGACAGGAGGGGACAGAGGCAGAGCCAGACTTTCCTAGGAAGTCTGAGAGGGTTGTGCACAGCTAGGGGCATCAGAGCTGGGTTTTGTAGGATGACCAGGAGTTCACTGTGAAGCTAGGGGTGAGGCTGCTGCAGATAGAAGGCCATTGTGGGCAGCTTCCTCTCAGGCTGCTGTGCCTGAGAAGGTCACCAGCCATCTGCCTTTTAAAAATTGTAACTGTCCAAAAAAATTGTAGGGCCAGGGATTTAGCTCAGTGGTTTCGCTGCCTGCCCCTAAAGCGCAAGGTCCTGAGTTCAATCCCTGGTACCCAAAACAAAAAAGTAACTGTCGCCAGGTGTGGGGTACATACCTGTCATCTTAGCACTCAGGAGGCAGAGGCAGGAGAATCACTGCAAGTTCAAGGCCAGCCTGGGCCACATAGCAAAGCCCTATCTCAAGAGACCACAGAAAGAAAAAAAAAGATTATTACTTCGCTTTCGTCAATAAAAAGTACCATCTTTCCTTAAACCCTAAATGAAGTAAGAACCGTTCTGTAGAATAAACATTACACGTGGTGACACCCACAAGGTTGGGCTGTGACACCCAGAAACGTCGATGGCCCCAAGTGTGTGTAGGTGACAACAGCACATATGCGCCGGGAACCGAGGGGAGCAGAAGGCTGTGCCCCTGTCACATCTGCGATGGCCTCCACTTTACAGGACAGGCGCCCACCCTGCGTGTCCACAGGCCGCCTGTAGCATCTCATTCCTTCTCCCTCTCTCTCCCTCTCTCTCCCTCTCCCTCTCTCTCTCTCTCTCTCTCTCTCTCTCTCTCTCTCTCTCTCTCTCCTTTGAGACAGTCCCACCATGTAGTTCAGACCAGCCTTGAACTCACTATGTGGCCCAGGGTGGCCTCAAACTTGCAGTGATCCTCCTGCCTCAGCCTCCCGAGTGCTGGGATGACAGGTGTGCGCCACCACACCTGGCAGGTGAGACATTTCAATGCATAGCTACAGTTCGTGTGGCAGATCAAGGTCGCTGGCAGATCTGTCGCCTCAGACACTGGTCATTTATGTTGGAGCCATTCAGAGCCTGCTACCAGCTACTGTGAAATGCTCAGCTGGCGGGCAACCCCTCCTGGCGAACACTCCGCCTCTGTGTGTGTGTGTCTCTCTCTCCTCTCTCTCTCTCTCTCTCTCTTTCTCTCTCTCTCTCTCTCTCTCTCTCTCTCTCTCTGTCTTTCAGCACTGAGGATGGGACCCAGGGCTTCCCACTGAGCTGCATCCCAAGCCCTTTATTCTTTTTTTTGGTACTGGGGATCGAACTTGGGACCTTGCACTTGTGAGGCAGGCGCTGGAACCACTGAGCTAAATCCCGGGCCCAAGCCCTTTATTCTTTATTTTGAGGCATGCTAAGTCACTAAATTGCCCAGGCTGGGCTGGAACTTGTGACCCTCCTGCCTCAGCCTCCCAAGTGGCTGGGCTCTCAGCCATGGGCCTCGCACCCCGAGATCTTCTGCCCTTTGTGTCCGCCACGCTGCAGGCCTTTGCTTTTAAACCCAGCCTGGGGGTTGCTGCAGTCCCTCTCCGGGAGCCAGGGGCTGAGCTCAGAGAGCAGAGGCAACCAGGACCTGCGTCCGCTGGATTCCTGCAGGCCCTGCCCCAGCAAGAGAAACGGGCTCACAGCCCAGGCCCGCAGGTGGCCATATGCGGAGGACTGGTGGCGTCACACGGCTGCACAGGGAGGGACCCGGCAAGCGGCGCTGAGCCTGGGCCTGGGCCTGGAGCCAGCAGACCTGATGGTGACCCCGGCTCAGCACCAGAAAAGGGGCTCGGGGGACCCTGTGAGGGGCCACGGCCACCGAAAACACAGGACCCCAGGGGCCACCACCTAATAGGGCAGCTCCTCGTGACCCAGCACTCAGGAGGCTGAGGTGGGAAGATGGCAGTTTTGAAGCCACACAAGGCACAGGCAGGAGCAGCTGCCCAGCGCAGGCCCAGCCATTGCCTTGGAGTCACTGTGACCCCTGCCTGTCCCAACAGAGCTGCGGTGGTCACAGAGGTCCTCAGGACCCTGCAGCAGGGTGGGGGTGATGGCCCAGTGAGCTCCTACATATCCATTAAACCCCAGCCACAATGTCCCTCCTGCAGGTGCTACCCTAGTGGGACCTTCAGTTCTCCCAGCCCTACCTGCCTCCCCCACACCCTGATCTGCAGGGCTCAGGACCTCAGGGTCCACAGTGGCCTGGCAGCTCCGTGAGGGACAGACAGAGGACATGGGGAGTCACTACCCCACTGACAGGAGAGCTGGGCCTTCCCACCCTGCACCAGAGCCCCTGGCTCCCGCAGCCCCTGCCCGGCCAGGCTGGCCTGTCCCCTGCGTCCCGGTCACAGATAAGGCAACTCTATCGACAGGAAGCATCTTGCCGGACAGGAAGCAGGCGCTGGCCGCACCCGGCCGCCTCAGCCTATCCGCGGTCGGATATTTTGGGAACCACTATATAAACCCCGCTCAGCCGAGCTGCCCTGGGGAGGCCTGGACCTCACGTTCCTCCCCTGGCGGCCAGACACGGGCATGCGGGACCTGCAAGCCCGGGCCCCCACGTCCCTGCACGCTGTCCCTGCGGCCCTGCCCCCAGCCCCCGGGCGGTGCCCCTGGGGTCCTGGACTCGCCTGGCTCGGGTGCCCAGCCAAGTCTCTGCCCCCGGCCACCACGCGTCTGCCCGCAGCCTGGCACCCAGATCGGTGATGCCCTGGTCCCTTTGTCATCTTAGGAAACCAGCCTGGCTGCCACCTCTGGGATCCCAAGCCCACCCAGGTCTGGGGTCACACTTGTCACGGGGCCTCTGGAGGTGGCTGGGCACAGGGAGCCGGGTGGGGAAGGTGCGGTCACCATCACCACTCGGCCTCGGGCCAAGGTCGCCACGGGCGGTGGGGGGGACACCCCTTCCGCGAAGCCACTGTGCTAAGTCCCAAAACAGGAACCACGGCAGCCTGGAGGGCAGGACCAGGGCAGCGCGGTCCTCCCCTACCCGGGTCCCCGGCCCGCCTGGCCTGGTGGCTTCGAGGCCCACTGCCCACGGCTGGAAAGATTTTTATGTAAAAGGGGCTGATGCAAATCTGGGGGCCCACGAACCCCGAAAGCCCCGCTTCCCCTTTCCCGCGCGGGCGGGGGGCAGCCACCTGGGTGTGGCGGGAGGACACTGGACAAGGCCGCCCGCGCCGGGCCGCAGGGCTCCAGTGGGGAGGGCGTGTGGCCCCCAGGTTCCGTCCTGGTCACACAGCGGGCTCTGGTTCTGTTTCCTAAAAATGAAACACAGGCTGGGGGTGTGGTGTGGGCCTGTCCTCCATTCATCCCAGCACTCTGGGAGGCTGAGGCAGGAAGATTCCAAGTTTGAGCCCAGCCTGGGCAACTTAACGAGAACCCGACTCAAAATGAACACCAAAAAAGGGCTGGGGATGTAGCTCAGTGTGAAGGCCCTGGGTTCCATCCCCAGTGCTGAAAACAACTTAAAACTCGAAAAACTCACAAAACATAAAAATCACCTTTTTTTTTTTTTGAGACAAGGTCTTGCTGCACAGTTCATGCTGGCCCTGAACTCACTCTGTGGCCCAGGCTGGCTTCAAACTTGAGATGAT